TTCAACAAAATCATGAATGAGTCAAAACTGTGAATGAGTAGATATAATAAAACAAAAATTATATTAGCCTGTTCAACACTATCCGTTACTGAAAAATAGAGCATGAAGGGGGAAAAATCTGTAACTTATTTTTTGGTTTCTATCTTAAGTGAGTTTTAACTTAGTACCTTCTAATCATTAATTCTACTTCAAAAATACCCATTCATGAGCTCGGGAGAAAATCTGAACAGTATTTTTCGAGGGCATTTTATCTTCTAAGACTCATAAATTTATGCTTATGTCACTTCAAGCATTCACAGCCTTGAATTTCTAAACTTTATCTCCCTAAACTCCTAAAAACAGAAAATCTCCCAAAACCACCAAGTTCAATTGAAAGCTTGAGTTGAGTAGGTCCATATTCTGGTTTTGCATGTAAGATTTGAGCAAGAACGGAGGCAGTTTAGCTAGGTTTAAATTTCTCTCTCTCTCTCTAAGCTTTTTCAGACTCCATGGAAGTAAAGCTCATTCTCTCTCTCTCCACTCACTCTGTGCGACAAGAAATGAAGAAAGAAGAAGGAAGTGATGTCCTTTACTCAACCTCTCTTTGCGACTTCCAGGTGTTCATAAGGTTTAGATCCACGTGACCACACTCAGAGAGCAAAAAAAAAAAGAATAAAATAAAGTACAACCCATTACGAATACAAGCCTTGACTTGGTGGCTCAACTTGAGCTTGTATCTTAATATTATAAAATCTTATAAATAATTCATTTGGATATTTTCTAATCAGTAAGCATATAAAATAAAATAAAAATTTGGACATGACATGCACAGTCAGTATTTAACACCAAAAACTAATGATGTTAGGGCAAAGTTAATGATTTAGTTACTTTTGCACCCACTCACGTAATGTTATGAGTATTTATGCCCCCTTCCTCACTTTATGATACTAGGAACATCTAACCGACTACTTTATATGTAGAGTTTCCCTTTAACCCAAGATTTAAAAGTTCATTATTCAAAGACTTGCTATGCCATTTTTGACAAATAAAGTTACAACTCATTCTAATACATTTGGAATTTTATTAGTCCTTTTATATTATAGTTGAAAATTTCTTTTCTTGAAGTGTTAATGAGTCCTAAGATTATATCATGAGTGTGAATTCTTGGACACCTCTCCTAATAAAGGTTTAAATCTTAGATCCTTACGTTGTAAGGAATTAACCCTTTCCATTAAATTCAATTCATGTTAGTTAAAAAATAATTTTTTAATGCCTACTATGTCTTATTGTTTAATGACTTATGTTTTTATTATTTTTTAAAATAAAATTATATTTTTAAATTTTTAAATTTGTTTTATTTTTTTTTACTTAATTAAATTTCAAATACTTCCTAGCGCAATGAAATGCCCATATTATGTAATCCCACATTTGTGTCGGTTTAGTTAAACAAAGGGACTTCACACACACACACACACACACACACACACAGGGGACCAACTGAAAAAAGATAATGACTGAGAATACTTGGCTTAAAATATATTTATAAGGAATATTTGAACACCGCGCGTGCGACTAAATATTACATCCCCAAAACTGCAAGATTATCCCATTCTGTCACAATTAAAATAACATTTTATAATCTTCACATTTTAATTGAGTCAGAATTATGTATCATATTATTATAAAAAATTATATATCATATAATATATATATATATATATATATAAGGTTTGAATCTGATTACAATATGTGCTCAACTGTGTTTTGAACATGATTTCTTCCCAACAAAAAAGACACATGTGATAGTCAATATAAATATATATATATATATATTTACTTTTGCATTATCCATAAGCGAGAAAGCATTTAATTAATTCCATTTTTAACATAAAAAAAGGAAACAACAAGATGAGGATAATCAATTTTCCAGAACAGAAGTCATTAATATAAATTGATGAAACTTTTTGTTCATTATTATTTTCTTATTGATTATCATAAAAAATTGAATAATTAAATATTTTCTTACATTTTGAGATATTTTATCACAATAAATTAATCAATAATATGCTTTTGCAAATATAATATTGGTGTATCACATTTTCCATGCATCAAATGTATTTTATATTGAATTAAATTAAATGTTTTGTGGATCAGTGTATACCACAACTACTCTAATGAAATGTTGACGACCTTATTCTCTTAAGAGATATATAAACCATAATTATATATTCATAGTAAGTTGACCAATGACCCTACCTATCTATATTTTCCATGCGTGGGTCATGGTGGGCTTCATATATATTATTATAAATAGACTAAGATTGACTGCTTTTATTAGTCTGTAAAGCAAAATTAATTAAGGTATGTTAATTTGAAAATTGTTTTAATTACTAGAGAATTGTTAAACTAAGACTCAGCCTGTACTTGACTAGAATTAATTTAAGTGTATGTTTGAAAATTATACGGCACTTAGTCTTAGAGTTGAATCTTCAACAACGAACATATATAACAACATAGGAAAAAATTAGAATTAATTTAAGTGATTGTTGATCCTGAAATGAAAATAAATATCATCTTCAATAACTAATATTCTATATCAATTGAAATTGGAGTTGTGCGTACATGTATGGGTAAATAAATAAACACGTTTTCACACGTACGGTACGAATTTCGATAATTAGATAAATTGTGTTGTTCATGATTTGTTATTATGTGGCATGTTTTATATTTTTATTATTTTATTATTTTATTATATTTACTAGACATGTTTTCGTGTAGTGTTATGGAGTTGGTTTTTTAAATTATTAAATACTATATGATAATAATTATTAATCCTTCTATTTCCAAAAATTTGCATTTGGGGTATTATATTCATATGCTTGCATTGGCCCTGCAATCAATGCTCGATCAACGATTATGTTATCCTCAATAATATAACTTTTTAGTGGAAATGAGAATTCATTCAATCAATCAAAAGAAGGCTGTGCAAGGATCCTCAATAATATTATTTAATTTAATATTATAACACTTTTAAAATGTTAATTTTATAATACACACACGTTATATGTAACAAATCAATGATTTAAAAGAACAACTAACAAAATTATAATAAGCAGTCAAATATATGTTGATTGTTGAGTGATGTACCAAACTTGACGCCTACGAGGCACCTATCTCAACTCCAAGTTCTGAAACCCATAAATTGTCAACAGATAATAATTAAAATTAAAAAATAAAATTAATTAATTAATTAATACTCCCTCAGTCATAAATTATAAGATACTTTTGAGAGAAATTTATCATCCCAAAATATAAGACACTTTGAAAAGATTAATATTCTATTAAATAGACTTATTCTAATATTACCCTTTATTTCTCTCTATTTAATGTTAATTAGGTGTGGATTTAAGGTTATTAAATTAAAGGTATTTTTGAAAGTTTATATTTTTATTTTGGAAAAATAAATTGTTAACTGTGTTTAATGAGGTTTATTGATATGTGAAATTTTATTTAAAAATGTCTTATAGTTTGAGATGGAAGGCGTACATTTTATTTTACTTTTGATTAAGAAAGCAAAATATTTCCAGACTTAATCATCTGCTACCAGAATATTGTCGGTATAGGTTATAGATGTATTTATCTTTTGATGGTTGCAACCGAAGTAAAAAAAAATGATGATGATGATGATCAACGATCACGGAAATGAATAATTCATGGTATTTATAATGAATGATTTTTTTTTAACTCATTTTAGCATCAACCAATTTTTTTAAGAAAACGAAGAGTATGTTTGGTCAGTAACTAATGAGTTCCACAGGGGAAAAATATTACTTGTGCCTTTAATTGTACTTAATTAAATATTATTTGTAATATGAATAATAGTTATTAGGTTGACATAAAAGATTCCAAAGATACATAAATGATACAAATAGTAGCGGTTTGAGTCCCTTGAGCATCAACGATTTAAGATTTAATTCTTGAAAGTATATATGATAGTGGCGGAGCCACATGTTAGAGAGCGGGGCAAATGTGCCCCCTCACTTTGGGAAATGCTGCAAATATGATATAGAAATTGTATAACTTTGCACCCTTTATTCTTAATCGGTTCATCCTTTGCCCCCTAAATAAAAATTTTTGGGCTCAAAAACTTATTAGATATAAAATAATTTAATGATTTATATAAAATATGAAGAGCATATTTACATAAAAGATCATAATGACTTGGTCATTATAATTTTTAAGAAAAAATGATAATCAATCTATTTATGTTACTATAATTTTAATCCTATAATATAATTATTATTTTTTAAAAATATTATTTTTTCATTAAATTATCCCGCACCTCTTGGTTTCAGGTTCTGGCCCCGCCACTGATGTATGGAGAGCATGGCTAGATGATAGAGGATTTCTGTAGAAATTAATCTCATATGACTATTGGCTGTGAAGATACCTTAAAAAAAAAATACACACACATATTATACAAAGTGCATGTAAATGTTGAGGGGCTGGAAAAAACATATTGCCTAAACAATACCAAGAAAAAATTAAAAATTTGATGGGGCCCATAGCCCCTTCCAGTCCTCTCCTCACCCCGATCTTTATTAGTACTAAAATCAAATGAGTATTTTAACTGGTTTAATAAACTATTTTCGTCTATGATTGATTTGATCACGGTTTTAACTATTAAGCCTGAATCATTACTTTGACCTAAATCTAATAATAATTGTTTTTATATCTTTTATTTTATTAGATATAGAATTAAAACTGAAAATAATTTCTTTGCCATCACTTGATTTGAAAAAAAAATAAGTCTATTTGTTCGAAACTTATCTGAACTGTCAAAACTGGATTTTAACGATATAGATCTCGCCACAGCGATCAGCATCGAAACCGTATAGATGAATATTTTACAGCAATTTTAAAACTGGATCTATTCCTTTTCTTTTGTTTTTTTTTTCTTTTTTTCCCCCCGGCAATCAAAGGAAGTATATCTCATTGATGGGCAGCAAAAGCACCGGAAACAGCAAATAGAGTAGATCGCAGAAGAACAGTAATATCAAGAAGAAAAAGACCAGCAACAGCCCCCCCGCAAACAAAAACAAAACAAAACAAAGAACCAAAAAGTCAAGAACATGTTTCCTAGCCTTCGAGAGATTTGAGAGATCATCAACAAGGATTTTAACCCAATCTTTCGAGCACACCAACCAGTAACTGCCTTTTGGAATCTTCGCTCCCGGCACCCTCAAGGAATCTCCACAGTTTCTCTGCGCATAGCCAAATCCAAACGAAGAGATTGTTCCAAGCTTGAAGTCCACACGTTACCACAAGTTCGCATCTCTTGATTTCCCGATCCAGACCCAAATCATTCACATCTTCTCCTGATTTCCTTCACACACACACCGTACCTTAACCCACACCAAAACCAAACCACAGCTCCGAGCCATGGGTCGAAGGAACACGACTCGCCGATCAGGAGTAGTGCCCTCCGGTGATGAGGGAAGGGAGAAAGAGAAACCCCTGGCGAAGCACACTCTGCAAGCTTGGCCGCCGGTGACTTACTCTCACAAGGGAATGGAAACCCTAGGAGAGAAAGGGTGTGCCCAAAACTTTGTTCAAATATGTTGCCGACTTGGCACTTGGATGTAATTGGAGGTAGACGTTTAATAGAACAATAAAGGAATAACCAAGATGAATGATTTTGCTTTTATTGGAAGAGAAAAAAATGGAGGAAAAGACCCATGTTATGCCTTCATCAACACGATCATTTCAAGCTTCTAACGTGGCTTCTATTGGTTGCTAACTTATTCAACAGACCAACCAGGCTCTTCTTCTTACTTGACCCTTGAGATCCATCATCATTCTTCTCTGGCGACCGTGATGAAGGTTCCGACGAGTGTCGCCGCTTCTGGTGGGCGACTACTCTTGTCGGCTCCGGCGGTGGTGGTTCCGACCCAATGAGGTGAGGAAAATTGAGCTTTGCTTTTCTACCCCTCATCTCGAAAGCGGCTCTGTCATAAGCCAAAGCTGCATCCTCTTCCCTCTCGTAAGTCCCTAACCACGTTCTCGCGCCGTTCCTCGCTGGGTCCCGGATCTCCGCAGCAAACTTCCCCCATGGCCGACGCCTCACGCCTCTGTAACTCCTCCATCTAGGTGGCGCGTTCCCTTCACGTGCCACAGACTGATCTGCAGCAGTGTTAACATCAGCCCCATCACTACCACCTGGTTTCATGGTGTTTTCATGCCGTTCACTGGAAAGCACCGTACCGCCGGAGTTACAACGAACGCCATGTTCCGGCAAAGCGGTGACGTCGCCGATAGGGTTAGAAGTAGAGGTGGTCTTGAAGAAGGAATTATTATTATTATTCATGAGAGACGCAGAGGAAGGATCATTGTGTTGCTGAAGAAATGGCGATTCAAAAGCAGAATAATTGTTAGGAATCATTTTCAGAAGCTGACGAGTTTGCTGTGGGAGTACAGAAGCACACATGACCTGTGAAAGATGACTTATTTATATGTTCGAAGGGACATTGATGATATTATTTTATTCTTGCGTTTGTTGCTTCCATGAAACTTCAATTTTGATTGGTTTTTAAGTTAATTTCCTCGCGTGTGATTTGTTCACTCAAACAAATATTATTTATGCAACGGCTTCTTTTATATAATATTTTTAAGAAAATCATGATCTTTAAAAATTAGCTAAGAAAGATTGTTTTTTTTTTTAACGTCTGTTTTCGTAGTTATATTAGTTAATTATGTGTTTTATTTTTTTTTACTATTTTTAAAGAAAAAGTACTATAATGTTGTTTTTATTTTGATAATTTTCTATGTCACATATCAAACGATTCCTGAATCTGATACGTAGCATCAACCAAGATTTTGCTGTAGAAACTCCAATACTATATAACCCCATTTTTTGTGTCGTTCTATTTTTTTAAAAAAAAATTGTAACTTAAAATTTTCGTTTTCTTTGTGGAACCACATGGAACCACGTGTAGGAGACAATCTTAATGATGCATTAGAATATTTAGCTTCAAATATGATTATTGATGAGAAATATTCACACACTCCTGTACGGCAATACGTATGGACCATGCAGAGTAGTATATATTATAAATTGAAGGATGATAAACATGCTAGCCAAAAAAATGATGATTAAGACACTCTCTACATTAAAAAATGTAAGGCATTTTTAACCGAATCTCACCCCTAATAAAATAGTTACTTGCTTTCTAACTAACCCTATCTTTATATATTTACCCCTATTAAACACCCTTCAATAAATATAAAGTTATTATCAATAGGGGCACTTTTAAAAAAGGTAATAATTACACCTTAAAAGACTAAAAATGCCTTATATTTTTAAACATCCAACTCCTCAAAAAATGTCTTATATTTTTGAATGGAAGGAGTACTCCTTTTAGTTTTATTTTATAAATAACTTCCAATATATTTTATTGGAAGTAAAGAAAGTGTTAATTTTTTAATTCTAATAAGTTTTTAGCTTTATTCTTATTAAATATACATATTTTAATAATATATTTTCTCTTATCAACATTTAATAGAAGGTAAAAGAAAAAATTTATGATAAAAAATTAATCAGTTGACTTATAAATAGGATCAAACAAATCCTATTTTTGCATTATAAATAAGATAAGTAGGAACAAACAATAATGGACGTTGGTGTCTCTAGGGAAAATAACGACAAGGTCCTAAAAGATTTAATTAATAACAATTAGGTTTTTGATATTTTTGAAAAAAATGAGTTAAAAAAATTCTATTCAAACAATTACAAATTGAAGGATGTAATTATAGATAACATATTTATAAGTTTCAAAGGTAGTTCTCATATTGTAATGAAATTCATGTTTGTAATTGTCTCAATTGACATTTAAAACACATTTGTTTCAAAAAAATTTGCTAGAAAATTAACTATCACTAATTCAATATTTTAAACCTCATTGTCATTTGCTCGTTAAGCCTAAAAGCGTGTCCAACTTACCTAAACTTTATTCCGTTAAAAGGAAAAAAAAAAAAACTGTAAGCAAACTCACCTAAACTTTATTCAAAAAAAAAAAAACAACTATTGTTCTCTCTTTTTTAACTTTTTTATTTGGGTGCAAAGGAAGTCATTCACTATCAATTAAAATAACATTTTTTATCAAACTTTGTTGGAATTTGTGGATCTGCCTTTGACGGGAATTATATTATAATCTTAGAGCAATTAGTGAATCTAACAAGATTTCGGTAATAATGATTTGACCAAAATCTGCAATTAATAAGTGATTGATTTTTGATTGAATTCCAAGAATAAGAAATATTCCTCTGCCTTTATGGTGATTATTCCAATCAATTATTTCCTCTATAATCAAGCATTTTAATGTTGAGGATTTTTCTTTTCTATAGTGACCTCCCCTTCACTATAAATAGAAGAGGATGGCTGAAGGAAGAACTTGTACCCTAGGGCAAACAGTTCTCTCCCATTGTTCAATCTAGAAGTCTAAATTTGTGATAGTTGAGTAGATTTTGCTACTTACAAATCTGGTTAGACTTTGGCCCAACTTTGTTATTTGGTATATTATTTATGTCTAGTATTCCTTCAAACTTAAATTGGCATGTACAGTGTACGTGTAAGACCTTTCATTACTTAAGGGAATATTTGAGGATTTAAATCTCAAATCTTATATATATATATATATATATATAGATATAACAACAACAATCTAATTAGAGAGATTTAACCCTTTACTTTCAGTACCTAGTAGATTCACAACTATATTGTCTAACAAAATATACACCAACCAGTATAAATCCTTCTAGAATTAGAAACTTCTAAGCAACAAGAGAGCAAAGATTGTCATGAAAATGTTGGATTATCTTAATGGTGTGTTTGAATTAATGGGGATTTGGATTTAGATTTAGACCAAATTTCTCATTTAAATACACAAAAATTTATTCAAATTATAATTTCAAATTCCCTCTACACTTTAGTTATTTGACATTCAAATCACACATTCTCTTCTCGTATTCACCATTAATACCATGATGACTTTTGTATATTTTCTCATCTTTTATCTATTAAAAATTAAAAATAAACTCATCATTTTTAATTTTTAATTTTCATTTCAAATCTCAATTCATTTCTTTTCTTCATTTGAAAATAATTTACACTACCCAAACAAATAATTTTAAATATATGAATTTTAAATGTGAGATTTGAAATATAATATTTTAAATCTAAAATCTAAATCTAAATTCATCAATCAAAACACTACCTAAAGGAATTGTAAGTTGTAAATCAAACTGATTCAAATTGAGTTGAATCTTCAATTAAAATTTTAAGATATATAATATTATTTTATTCTACACACTACTACTTTAATTTAGAAAAGTAGTTAAAGCAATGGCAATAAGCTTCAAGATAGATCTTTAAGGAACTTCGAAGTAAAGCATTGATCATATATCTATATACTATTGAAAGTAAGATGACCATGACTATATTTGTTTTCCATGGCTCGTGTTGAGCCTTCATACTATAAATAATCAAACATTGACTACTTTTTTGGTCTGTAAAGTAAATTGTTAATTTGCATATATAGTCAGGATGCTTTCCAAGAATATCGTTCAATTAATTATGATCTATTATGGCCCCGTTTGGATTTGTTGCATCCTCTTTTCAAAATTTAAATCCCAGATATTGTTTGGATAATTATAATAAGTGTAAACTGACTTTCTGAAAAAATTATACATTATGGATCAAACGGTAATTGACTAGCTAGATTCAAGTGTTTGAAATACTCACCATTTATTTGAAAATTCTACATTATAGTCGAATGCTCACCATTTATTTGAAAATTGAGTCAGCCTTATATATAATAATTAATCTAAAAAAATCTCGGTCCCTATTGGCTATTACTTATAGTATTACCACCACATGTAATTCTGCTCATTTATTATTTTTTGTTGCTTGAACGATTTACTTTATATTGAAGTCTTTCTCTAGCTACACGAGAATGTAAGATTGCTAATTTCAAAAGCCAACTTCTGAAAAGATGTTAATTAAATATATGACAATTAAATCAACTTATTATATTTTTAAAACAGAATTATATATCTGAAAGATTTGCCCATTTGGGGATCACATCATTGTTGACCTAATAGAACCAGTAATTTGAGTGAGTCGGACTTATAAATTGACTTTAATTTAAAATTATTATAAAATTAATGGCGTTAAATTTATTAATTATATATATATATATAAAATAATATTTTGATAAATTATTATATTTTTTTTCCTATTATCGGGCTTATAGGGTCAATTAATTTAGATGGTAGCTTGTAAGTAACCTTTTGAGCGCGCACATCAGGAGGAATTTCCCTTGATCTCTGCTTTCACTACCTAAGCTAGTTTCATATGGCTTGAATAATAAATTATTCTCGAACAAAGCTGTTGTCTACATACATCACATTTAAATTGTATATGCTCGATCGTCTATATATTGTTATTATTATTTCTTTGTGTTTTTTTAATTATTGTGTTAATTGAAGAATTATACTGAAGTGTTTTCCAGCTCACGGGCATGTATGACAGTATTTTCTAAAGCTAGCCAACTTCTGAAAATGTTATTCGCTAATTTAATTATTAAATTATACTATATGATAATGATTAGTAATCCTCTATTTCCAAAAGATTTATATTTGGATATCATATCCATGTGCTTGCAATTTGCATGTTAGGCTTGCAGTCAATATAATGCTTGATCAACGAATATATTAAAGAGAATATCAATGAAAGACCTCTAAAATGATTTAATATCAAACAAGAATTTATAACAAGTAAACATTAACAATTGGCAAGTGAAAGTTCAAGTTTTGACAAGCATCCGATTTGTCTAAGTCCTTGTCTAATATTAAATTAATTTTGCAATCCTTCATTCATATTCTTCCTATGTTATCCTCAATAATATTACTTAATTTACTGTTATAACACTTAAAATTTTAATTTTATCATATATACGCAAATGGGTCAAGATGATTGGCCAAATGCTCTCTCTCCCACATCAAAATTGGCAACTATCGTGAGGGAAATAAATTTGCTGACTTTTTAGCCTCTTTCGCACTTAGTTTGGATGTGGGAATGCACTTTGGGCATAGGGCAAACACGTTTATGTAATAATAGATCCTAGTTGGATCTTTCTTCCTTAAAAAAAAAAAAAGATTTAAAAGAACAACTAACAAAATTATAATAAGCGCAATCAAATATATGTTGATTGTTAAGGTAACGTACCAAACTTGACACCTACGGGGCACCTATCTCAACTCAAGTTCTGAAACCCATAAATTGTCAACAGATAATAATTAAAAATATAACTAAATAACTAATTAATACATTTTATTTCACTTTTGATTAAGAAAGTGAAATAACTAATAACTAACAAATAACTAAATAACTAATATTTCTAGACTTAATCATCCGCTATCAGAAAATATTGTAGATATAGGTTATAGATGTATTTATCTTTTGATGTTTCCAACTAAAAAAAAAAATACGGATGAGGATGAAGAATAATCGCAGAAATGAATAACGGTATTTGAAAGAAATGATATTTTTCAAATCAAAGAATATATTTCGTCAAAACATATGAGTTCCGCAGGGGGAAAATATTATTGCTTTTTCTCTTTACTTTTTTTAATACTCAGATTTATTGCAAGATTAGTCTCAAATTAAAACCTCGATAGTGCCCAAAGCCCCTCCTAGTCAACCATTTTCACCCCAATCTTGATTAATAATGAGCTCTTTCTTAGGTGCTCAGTGCAAGCGGTCCAAATTTAATAATAATTATTTTTATATTTTTATTTTATTAGATATAAAATTAAAAATAAAAATAATTTATTGGCCATCACTTATTAAAAAAAAGTATACTAATTAAAAATTTATCTAGACTATCAAAACTGGATTTTAACATCTTCATCTCACCGCAGCAATAAGCATAGAAACTGTATCCGTTAATAGTGCACGGTACTAATAGTGATAGATGAATATTTTTTAGCACTAGACGTTTAAAAGAACAATAAAGCAATGACCAACATGAATGATTTTTTTTGTTTAATTAGGAAGAGAAAAAAATGGAGGAAAAGACCTATGCCATGCCTTTATCAACACAATCATTTCAAGCTTCTAACTTGGTTTCTATTGGTTGCTAACTTATTCAATAGACCAGCCAGGCTCTTCTTCTTACCTGACCCTTGAGATCCATCATCATCCTTCTCTTTCGACCGTGATGAAGGTTCCGGCGAGTGTCGCTGCTTCTGGTGGCCTACCACTCTCGTCGGCTCCGACGGTGGTGGCTCCGACCCAATGAGGTGAGGAAAATTGAGCTTTGCTTTTCTGCCCTTCATCTTGAAAGCAGCTCTATCGTAAGCCAAAGCTGCATCCTCTTCCCTCTCGTAAGTCCCTAACCACGTTCTCGCACCATTCCTTGCCGGATCCCGGATCTCCGCCGCAAACTTTGCCCACGGCCGCCGCCTCACGCCTCTGTAATTCCTCCATCTAGATGGCGCGTTCGCTTCACGTGCCACAGCCTGATCTGCAGCATTGTTAACGTCAGCCCCATCACAACCACCTGGTTTCATGTTGTTTTCATGCCGTTCACTGGAAAACACCGTACCGCTGGAGTTACAACGAACGCCATGTCCCGGTAAAGCAATGACGTCGCCGTTAGGGTTTGAAACAGAGATGGATGTGAAGAAGGCATTATTATTGTTATTCACGAGAGACGCAGAGGAAGGATCGTCGTATTGCTGAAGTAATGGCGATTCAAAAGTAGAATGATTGTTAGGAATCATTTTCAGAAGCAGACAAGTTTGGTGTGAGAGTACAGAAGCACGCTTGAGCTGTGAAAGACGACTTATTTATATGTACGAAGGGATATTGATGGTATTTTTTTTATTTTTTTTTTTATTCTTGTGTCTGTTGTTTCCATGAAACTTCAATTTTAAGGGGTTTTTAAGTTAATTTCCTCACATGTGATTTGTTCAGTCAAACAACTATTATTTGATCGTCATCAGTGCGTATATATAAATGGTTTTTTAATATAAATACACATACATACATATATAGTAGTGGCTTCTTTTGTATGACATTTATTTTTTACATAATAATACTAATAAATAAATAATTTAACTAATTTCATTAATCTCCATAAATTAATTATAGGTTTTACAATTGTGACAGGAGAAAATAGTTTTTTTTTTTGCCAGCAGAATAGTATTTTAACATACTTCCTTCAGTCTAAAATATAAATATTTTTTTTCCTAACTAATCTTGATTCAAAATATAAATTTTCAAAAAAAAACCTTTCATTTAATATTTCATTTGTGAAATAATTTTAAGAGAAGAGAATATATAGGAAGAGTAATATTAAAATAATATCATTAATTAAATTTTATTTTTATCAAAGTACCTTATATTGTGGATGGGACTTGCAAAAGTATTTATAATTTGAGATGAATAAATTATTTAGACTTTTGCTTTCTTATTATTTATAAATCAATCATGTCACCAAATTTTATCAAAAGTTTTTTCTTTTATACTCATAAAATGTTGTTGAGATAAAATAAATTATTAAGTTTTTAGATAGAGTTAATGAATTTTAAATTTCTCTTTAATAAAACAAGATAAAAGTGACTTATAACTAGAATTTAAAAAAAAAATAGTTTGAAATTTGTGTCAATTACCATACAGAAAATTTGTTTCTCAGTAAATCTCAAGCCATTTGATATGGAAACATTTGTCTGGGATTGTGTACATGACATGAAAAACGATGCTAGTTAATTGGTGTAAGAACAAGATACGTGATCTCTTGGAAAAACACAAAAAGTTTAATTAGCAATCAACTTACAAGCCACACTTCACTGTGATCATGCTTTTGTTTAAGATTAAAAAATAAATATTTTTTTGATAGTTTAAAAATTTTACAAAAAAATATTTAGGCTGTAGAAATTTTATAAAAAGCACATACAATTTCATGTTTGTTTACAATGATAAAAAGTGATTATTATTTAATTTGTTTAATATTTTATGATATTTTTGTGGACCTCTATTTATAAAAAATAATTTATTATTTATTTGTTTATTTTAAAATATTATGATATATTCATGCATCTCCTCCACATTTTTATGACATTTTTACTTATCTATCACATCAAACTATTTTCAGAAACTATTTAAAAATATGTTTTTTAAAAAAAATTAAGACTACTTTCATAAATTTAAACAAATCTCATAAATTTTCATATAATAGACTTAAAAAAAAAGTTGTGTTTATTAAAGAAAATTAAAGAAACGACGCAAATTAGGAAAGATCTCTTTTAACGTCTGTCTTCATAGTTATTATTTAATTTTGTGTGTGTGTTTAACATATCAAACGATTCCTGTATCTGATACCTTTATGCATCAAACCAAGATTTTGCTCTAGAAATTCCAATATTATATTTAACCCCATTTTTTTTGTCTGTCTATTTTTTAACAGGAAACTTAAAATTTTATCTTTTTGTTTTTTAGGGAACCACATGGTACCACGTGAAGGGGACAATCTTAATAATGACATTAAATATGATTATTTATGAGAAATATTCCAACACTCGAAGACTTACGGAGGACTATATATTTGTATATCAATAATCATTTCCGATCTAGTGAAAAAGACTAATTCTTCATAAATGAATCTTATAAATTGAATTTAAAATAGTAACTCAGACAATTACAAATTCAGATATTTAATCATGCATCAATAAGATATGCATAACTGTCTAAATTGATGTTTTGATCTCATTTAAAAAAAATATCTGGAATCCAATTATTAACAATTTAATCTTTGAAAACTTAAATGTCATTCTTTATTTATTTATTTATTCATTTTTTTGTGGATGAAAAGAACCACTCAGTGTCCTTTTTTTTTTGCCAAAAAAAGAGCCCATTTTATTAATCACAAAAAATAATACACACACCACTAGCTAAAGCCAAAAAACACTCCAAAAAAACTAAGATACAACCTACCACACAAAACTCACTGAAAAAAAAAAAACAAACAAAACAGCAAAAAAAAAACACAAAGCAAAAACAATTAACCAATTCCAACTTTGTTCTAGTCATCACAAGAACAATCAAAAGTAGAAATTCTTGCAGTCCTTAAATCAACAATCAGAAGACCAAATAAAAAAGATGATGCATCTAACAGGATACATCCTCTTACAACCTATGACTGCCAACAAGTTAGTAGTTTTATTGCCTTGGTGAGCCACCAAAGAAAAAGAAACATCCTTACATGAATCTCGAGCAACTTGAATATCCTGCAATAAATTAATATAATGCCAATCATAATCACCTGAAATCTTACCCATAAGAATCCAAAAAAGCACCTCACCATCTATCTCTATGACCACTTTTTTATCAGTAAAAGAAATATCAATTTTTAACCCTTCTAAAACTGCTAAACATTTTATTAAATTTTATGACACTCAGTGTCAATTAAAACAACCATTTTACCAACTTATAAATTGGTGAGTGGTAAGAGATTTTATTACTTAAAAGAATATTTAAATATTTAAATTCTAACTCTCATATATGTAATAATTTAATTAGAATAAGTCTATCCTTTTTTCTTCAATGCCTTAGCAGAGATTTGACACAACTATCAACAAAGTATACCCCTACGTGGTCCAGACGTTCCACAATTAGAAACTTTTAGGAGCCTACTTTACTTTTTTTATTATGAGAGAAACTTCTATATGCCTCCTTAAAAACTATAAATTTTAAGAAGTATTTATTATATTTTTTTTAAATTACCCTTATAAAATAATGTTTATTTTCATGAAATAATTCTGCTTCATTAATTATAAAAATAATTTAGTTTAAGTTTTTTTATTTTAAACAAATATTATACTTAATCAACTTTCTTAAACTGTGTGAATTGGTTTTTTCCCTAAATTTGAAAGTTGATAAAGTATAAGAGAGCAAGGATTATTGTCATGAGCGTAGGATTATCTTAAAGATATTGTAAGTGGTAACCAAACTCATTTAAATTCGATTGAATCCTTAATTAAAATTTTAAGATATTATATCGAACTAATTGACTAAACTGGATGAACTAATTGACTCATATCGAACTCTTTCCAATCTAAAATATAGTATAATTATGTAATATGCATCACTGCATTACACGTATTAAAAAGACTAATTTTTTTTTATAAATCTCATAAAAAGTTGATTTTTTTTCAATTTTTTCGTTGATTCATAACTAATATCCACAATTTTCGTGCATTTTGTCTCATCTGTATACATACTCAACATAGGGGCAAAAAATGAAAATTGTTTTTTAAAGTTACAAATATGTCCTATATTTTGAAACCAATCGTAGCTTATAAAAACATGTTCTATAATATGAAGATGAGGAGTAATTGAATACAATATTCAAACGTTTTAAAGGCTTGTAAGAATATATCTAGTATGAATCATATAGTTGTATTTTCATCATTAATTTGAAAATTGCAGTCTTATGAAAACTGAATCGAAGCATCCGGTTCAACTATTGAACTGGAAACTAGTCCCAAGTCCAGTCCAATCATAACAAGAAACCAATAGTTTTTAAAAATTAGTTAAGAAAATATAATATTTAAAATATATCAATCTATTCATAACTAATTAGACCGTAGTCTAACTATTAAATATCATGAACCAGTGTCTAGACCGATTTAAATAGCCAATCTAGCTTTCTTAACTTTATTTTCAATCGGCCTCATAATAATTATTAATCTTAAACGAATCTCGGTCCTTCTTGGCTATTAATTTAACGCCACATGTAAATTCCACTTGTTTATTGTTATTTGTTGGTTGAACGATTATAAATTGAAGTCTTCATTGTCTAGCTACACGTGGATGTAAGATTGCTTCTTTGTAAAGACAACTTCTGAAAAGGTGTTCCAAGTTTAATTAAATATATTATAATTAATCAACATATTATATTTTTAAAACAGGATGATATATATCTGAGATTTGCCCTTTTGGGAGTCACATGATGTTGTTGGCCGTAATCAATGTTTAGATCAATCAAATATGTTATGGTATTATTCATTTAGAGTAATATCAAATATGGAATAATATTCTTTCCTTATTTATAGCAATTAAACTTATTTTAATTATTGACGCATTCTCCTTGTTTTCAAATTTATACAACCTTTCTTCAAACTCAGGTTTGGTGCTACACACACACACAGAGACAGAACTCTCTTTTATTTTTGGAATCTAAAGTTTATGTAACTCTTTGTTTTGGCATTTCCTCCATCTTCCTCTCTTCTCTCTCTCTCTCTCTATCACACATTTACACCTCTAGAAATTTAGTGTGAAATGAAATATGATGATTATTAATGGAATCAAGTGAAGTAGAATTCAAGGTTCCATTATTTGGTCTCATAAATTATTATAAAATTAATGGATTTAAATATATATATATATATATATATTTCTATTATTAGGCTTTTGGGTCAATTAATTTAGATGGTGCCTTTTGAGTAACTTGATACATAATTAAGATATTTATCAAACAATAAATCAAATAAAATAATAAATCAAATACAATGGTCGAAATCAGAAAAATTCTCTCAAATAGGTATGGCGATTATCATTAGCTATTCCACTCTATTTCATTCCATCCTTAAAAATAAAAAGAAAATCCCAAACACTATCCAAGAAATATTGAGAATGGAAGGTAGACATTATCAAACGTGGCAAAAGTTTTTAAATTAGATTTTTCCTTTTCAATATATATACGTAATTTTATCCTTCCATTTTTTGGGATTATATTTTAATTTTTGTGTGAGAGATAGAGAGACACAAGGTGTGTTACTTTTAACTCGAAAAACGATAATAATAATTATTGTTATAAAAGAGAAATTGAGGCTGTATTTGTGAACATGGGGTTTTAACTAATTTTAAATGCTAGCCTCACAGATAGATATTAGATAGATGTATTTTAGCCAAATACATATTCAGGCCTTGTAGAAACTTTATTTTGGGCTTTGTAAACTTCAAATGGGCTTACCCCAATAACATTTTAGGCCCAAACACTTAACGCTGCATTACTGATGTATGTTATCTTCCCACCTCAGCTGATAATTCTGGTTCTGACTACATAATACAAAATAAGCCACTCTAAATCCAAAAGTTGAAAATGTACATTCAGTGTCGAAATATTCATCTTCTATGAATTCAATTTTTTGTATACTTTTGGAGACTCATGGGAAATTTTGGTGGTTAAGTCCCTTGTAGAAAAGTACAAAATAGTTTCGTTTTTTTCAAAACAAAAAAAAAAGAACAAGAATACCAAAAATGTCATGCTAAGAAATTACAAAATCAATATGTATCAAAGCGTAGAAGTTTCTACTGCCGAAGGACGGATTGTCAAAAAACATGATATTTCAATGTTCTCATGAAATGCTTAGTGGGCGAGCCAGTCATCATATTTATATTAGTTAGAGGTGGGGGAAAATGAGTGGGCTGAACCCTTATAGACCCAGTTCTTAAGAGCTTAGGCCTTTTAGCTTAGTTTTTAAAAAAATGGTTAATTTTTAAAACTCAGCCCTTATTTGAATGATTGAGAGCTGGGCTTGTAAACCCATTTTATTTTTTCAAAATAAAAAGTTCAATAAAATAAATAAATACAAATGCAAATATAAAATCTTGATCAAGTTTTAAAATGAAGATAAAAATTTTCAATCTAAATCAACCTTATCACATTTGATAAATACATAAATTTATATATCATAAAGTATAACATTAATCAAAACCAAGAAATAGATTTTACAAAGTAATCGTTTTTAAGAATTTAATAAAACATCTATCAATATCATGTTAAAATAAATGGCAAAAAGAATAGGCATCAATTATTTTGACAACATAATACTTAAAAAATATCAACCTTTTGGGAAACATAGCCTATCAAGGCTAGGCCTAAAAGCCTAATTTTTAAAAAAACTATCAATTTTTTAAGCCTGAATTTAAATAGAGTCTCTAAACCCAATTCTCCAAGCTTGACTCTTATTCCCGACTCTAATATTAACTTCATTGCAAACAATATTAAGTATGATTGTTCAATCTCACATAACAAGTTTTCTAATCTTCTTGATAGTATATGGGAAAACTCATCTTGGATGGACATGAGAGCGTTGAGTGAATCAAATTAAACATTGATATTTCTAAAATTATCATTCCAACAAAAAATAAGATCTGGGACTCGTTAAATATAATTTTTTGGACAAACAGAACATCTTTAAGGACAATAAACTTGTTCATATACCTCAGCCTTTAGAATTGTTGTTTGGTGATAAGTGGGGTCCTCACTCAGGCATTACATAATCAATCCATGTATGGTATGGATCCCTTGGAGAGAAATTAAAGTTTTGATGCGTTAGCCACGATGGTGATTGAGTAAGATATCAGTAAAGCATCAATGTGTCTGCGCTTGTTTGCCTTTAATTTCCTTCAAAATCAAAATCTTGGGCTCCCTCTTCCTTATTTCTCACAAAAGTCCACTGTTCGTGTCTCATCATGGGTCAAGTCTTGGACAGGTTACAGGGTAAGGCATGCATAGTCTATCTTCTCTTCTCTGTTCTTATTTAGTTAATTAATTTCTTGTTTCATTTCAAGTCTTTCACTGATGTTGGTCATGCTGGTTCATTGATTAATCCTCAAGCGCTATTTATTTTTCTTCTCTTTTCTTTGAATCTTCTCAATTTCTCTTCCTATATATGATTGCTGTTAATTACTTCTCTGTTTGCGTGGATCGTCTTTTTATTCTGAGATATATATCAGGATCAAATTAATGGAATTAATGATAATTAAACTGTTAAAATGAAGACTCCAAATGTTGAAGCAAGTGTTATATATAATATTTATAATTGTATATGTTTACTTATATATGTTGTTTTTTTTCTCTCTTGATTGCTTTTATATATATATATATATATATATATATTAATGTATTGAAGTCATAGACAATAACCATTCATGTATGTCATTAAAAATTTGAACTATCTATTATTAATTTAAACAGTTTTGTTAAAATATTTATAAAGTCAAATATTATTGGCAATAAATTTTTATTTTTTTTATTCCCATTTGGGTTTAACAATAATAAAGATTAGTCGGTAAAATATTAAATAGCTAGATTATATTCAATTCTGTTATTGCATTTTTCCTTTCCTGCATGATAGATTAATCTCAAGTATTGACTAGAAAGCAGCAGAAACTTATAAGTGATCAAATAATCAATTTTGATAAAATTAGCTTCAGCTGAAAATTAATCTGAGTTGAATTTTAAACTCATATATGGGTCATCACGTATCCTTTTCCGGGATTTATTTTAGTGTTATGAAAGAGAAAGCGAAAGAATCAGAAATTCAACAATTCCAATATTCACTGCCTGAGATTAGTTTGATTAATTGAACATAATTAAGCCAACTAATAACATATCAAATTAAGACTCTTAGTAATTAAGAACGTCTGTTTGTTTGCTAGAAACGATGGGAATTGAAAGGATTAAAATAAATAAAAGCAAACACAAAATGATCAAAATATATGGGAGATAGGTGGTAAAGGTTACGTAATTTAGTTCATAAAATTAAAAATTTTGATTCATGAAATTCGCAAAGAATGTGATGATTCCATATTTACATTTTGTAGTGTATTGTATGTAATCTATTCTTACCATGAAGGGGAGGATAATTTAATTCATTTTTTATTTCTTCAATATATTTCATTTTCATATTTTCTATCAACCAAACAAAGCGCTCTAAAGTTGTGATAAGCATGATACAATAATGGTCTTGATTATTGTTACACAGATAAGAAGTGGAGGCAAGGCAAAATAAGGAAGATAACAGATAAAGCATTTGAAAGTCTTAAGAATGAAGAAGAAAAGGCTCAATTGACATTTGAAGATCTCTATATTGCTGTTTTACTGGTTTACAAGTAATTATTAGAAGTGATATATCTCTTTAATTAGCATTAACCAAGTTTAGGCTTAGTTAGCTCTCACAATTTTGTGTTTTTATGTGTTTTAAATGTTGCAGTGATCTCAATAAGCATTTGCCTGGTCCGCACTTTGATCCTCCCTCGAAAGACAGAGTCAAGCAAGTCATGAAGGTACTTAACGACGTGCTGTTTTCATTTTAAATCCTAATTACTCTCTTTCTCTGCACGGTTTTGACTGGTCTTGTAATTTTTTTTTTTAAATCCTAGTTACTCTCCGCTGTCTAGCAATTATTGGTAGCACAATGAATGACATCATAATCTTGAACAAAAAATTCTACAAGTTTGAGTATTAATTAAATATTGTGAGGATGTTCAAGTATGAGTAAACATGAACTAATGTCGGAAGTTTTATATTAAATAAAATTAAAGTTAATAACTAATATATAATAATATGAAGAATATTGTCATGAATCTCACATTAGAGAATGCAAAATAAGTGAAATGTATAAATTTAAAGGACTAATTTTTTGAAAGGAGCTCTTTTTTTAACTTGTGCTTATAACAATGTTGCTTTCATTATTGAGAAGAGAGGTCATTGTTGGGCATCATTGTCCCCATAAGCTTTGAGTGATTTTAAAGATTTGTGGTCTTTTAGCATAAATAACTTTTGGTTTTGGTCATTTAGTGTAATTTTCTCAAAAAGCTTTCATTTTTATACATGGCTAGATTTTATTCCATGTGTTTGATATATCAAGTTCTTCAATAATTAAACTGAGTCAATGAATTATAATGAATGGATTGTTTCAAGTTTAAAAAAAAAATCATAGAAACTATATTATGGAACTAAGTTTTGAATTAACAAAGTTTGAAAATTGAATAGATAATTAAAAAAAATGGAGATTAAAAATTATATATACTTCTTCCAATAACTTCTGATTATAGTTCTTGAGCATCTTTTCCCCCATAAACTTTGAGTAATTTCAAAGACTTGTGGTCTTTTAGTATAAATAACACTTGGTTTTGGTCATTTAGCATAAGTTTTCCCAAGAATTTTTTTTAATAAATACATCATCATGGTAATTTTCTTTGATTAAAAACTTCAATTTGCATATCACATAATTACGAACTTGCAGGAATGTGATGTGAATCCTGATGGGAAAATAGACCGTGACGAGTTTTATGAGTTCATAAAAAGAATGACAGGAGACACATTCACAATAATAAGCCAAGGGATGATTGTGACTTTGGTTGTGGCTCCAATGTTGGCGTTTGCAGCAATGAGGGCCATTGAAGGCGTCCCTGGTGTGGTTGGCAAAGTCGCAAGAAAGCTTCCAAAATCAGTTTACGTGTCGCTTATCACTATTGCTCTCGTGGCGCTCTGTAATTGGATGCAAAGGATTTCTTATCACAGCTAGTCTTGCCTGCAACTAATATTCTGTGTTTCTACATTAAAAAAAAAAAAGTTTCAAATGTAAAGATAAATTTAAAAAGAAAAAATAATAATAAAATCTCTTCAAATTATGTAAATGATATTTCAGTCCCTCAAAATGTCATAATACTAATGAAATCTCTAGGAACTTTTGTGTTATTAAAGAATTAATGTACATGATCAAATTATCCTTAGTTTAGAATTTTAAATGCAAATTTACGAATTACTATTGTATTCTTGAGATTTTAAGAATAAAAATTGTGAATATCTTAGAATAAAACTTGTGAATAGTAATTGATATTTGCAATACTTGAGAAATATCATGATTTTAAATACAAATTTACAAATTACTGTTGAATTCTTGTAATTTCAAGAAGAAAAGTTGTGAATTTTAAAATAAAAATTGTAAATGTTAATTGATATTTGAATTAAAGATAATTTAATTATTTATATTAATTCTTTAATGACAGAAAATTTACTAAAAGTTTTATTGGTATTATAACATTTTAAAAGATTAAAATATTATTTACATAATTTAAAAAGATTTCCTTATTATTTTTTCATTTAAAAATGCATGCAAATTAAAAGAGAGAAATTCGACTGACTGTATTGTGTTTAGCACAAAAGCTAGTCCTCACAGTCTAGTTGTAATAATAATAATAATAATAATAATAATAATAATAACAACCTTGATCCTAAAGGCTTAATTCTATAGGCTCACGCACCTCGAATTGATGGGGTTTCTCAAGTCCAATGTTTGTTGACAGAGAGCAAAGCCAGGTTTGGAAACCCACAATTCCTTTTTTTTTCTATTTTAATTTTTAATTATGCTAATATGCAATTTAACATACTTGTGATTTTCATATATTAATTAAAAATTAAAATAATCAAGCAATTTAACCATATTATTTTGCAATATCAACAGAATTGACATATTTAATGAGCTTACAAGCTAGCTTGAGCTTGACCTTATTTTTAATGGGCTTAGAACATCTAAGCCTTCAAGCTTTTTAAATTTTTATGCACAAGACCCCAGTTTTCTAAGCTTGTTTTTTAAAAATATAGCGCCTAAAGAGATCTGAGAGGCTTGACTCTCAAGATATGTTTGAGAGTATACTTCCTCCATTTAAAAATATAAAATATTTTTAATTAAATTTTATTTTTAATAAAATAATTACCTACTTTTTAATTAATTTTATTTTTTTATATTTATTCTTATTAAACACCCTATAATAAATATAAAATCATTATCAATAGAAGCACTTTTGAAAAAAAAAAAGCAATGATTATATTTAAAAAGATTAAAAATGTCTTACATTTTTTAATATTTAACTACTCAAAAAATGCCTTACATTTTTAACGGAGAGAGTATATTAAAAAATGATCATTAATAAAATGAAATGAGATAGAATGGAATGGAATGAAAAATTTTAATTATTTAAGAGTTTTATCAAAAGAATATGTGTTAAAAGTCAAAAATATTAAAAAAATAATTGGTGGGATCCAGTTAAATATTTTATAATAAAGTATTAAAAAATTTAAAATGAACCCCATTAATAAAGAAAATAAATGAAAAAATGGCACGGTAATAAATTTGAAAATCTTAGTAATTGATAGATAAAATTGATCATAAATTGAGTTTAGGGTCATTTTTGATTTTTTATATACACTTCAAAGATAAAATTAACCCTTAACCTATTAAAAAAATAATATAGGACCCACAAGCCATATGTTATAATAAACAAACATTAAAAAATTCATATGTGAGACCCACATAACAATAAGTTAACATTAGGATAACAGAGCAATTATTTTTTAAAATTGAGGGATATAAAATGACCTATAATTAAATTTAAGATTATTTGTAATCCTTCATATGCACTTCAAAAATATTTTTGACCCCTTAACTCAAAGAATGAATAGTTTTATTTAATCATTATCATTATTCAAGAATTATTATAAAATTAATAAATTTATATTAAATATAATTATGTTATTGATATTATGACATCCTATCCTCAACTCTCGAACAGGAGTTAAAAAAATGGGTTTAAAATAATTAAAGATGACTCGAAAGGTGATTCTAAATCATTTTATATTCTTTTAAAAAATTCTCTTAAACAATAGTATAAACTTTTAATTATTTCACCCCATTTTATTACAAAAGGAAAAAAAAAAAAAAAAAAAAACTCGCAAACACTATGTTATTGGCCGGCTTTAAACGTGACCCACTAAGTCTGAATTTGTTTTGACATAGATGCTCGTATCAAGCAGTAGCTCAGGGTAAAGATGGAACCTAACAAAAAGACACCCCTGCTCCATTCTATTTAATTTATTGTGCTTTTGGATTTAAACCATTTTTTATTTATATTTTTTCCCATTGATTTGTCCGATCATTGCGGATCGATGCAATGGGTGGCTTGGCGGAGACGAGACGAGTTTAGATATCTCCAGTTTACAAATTTGGGTCCTTTCGTTCAAGGAACCGATAAATTTTTCTTTTGAAAATATGTACAAATTTGTGATGTGACGGTTCTCCCAATTATAGATCGATTTCACATGATCAGACTGTAAAATATCAGTAAGCCTTGGGTCCTCTTTCTCAGAACCTTCAACTTTTGACCTTATCTTCAACCCTCCAAACCCGAGTTTTTTCGTCATGGGGCAAGTCTTGGGCAGGCTTCAGGGTACTTGCTTATCTTCTCAATTCGATTCTTCTTTTTAATCTTTTTGGTTTCGTTTGAAGTCTTTTACAACCACTCTCCCAGACTCAGGGATTCGTGAAGTGTTTTTTTTTTTTTTTTTCTCTTTGGATTTTCTCTTTGTTGATTGCTGTTACTCCTATTTGCCGTGGATTCTCCTTCGGTTCTGAGATTTCAGGATCATTGACGGAAGAATAAATGGTTGAAATGAAGTCCTGAAAATTTTTTAATATATAAATAAATGCCTTGGATGTGTAAAGACATGTTAGTGCTTATTAATTACCTGATTCTTGAAGTTTTGTCAGTCCTCTGTTTTGTTCTGCTAATTTATGGTAACTTTCTTTGTGCTGATTGATTAGAAATTACAGATTCAGTTCTGTTTTTGTATTTTTCCTTTTTCTGCATGATGGGTTATGTGCCATAGGGTGTTTAGTATGGAATATTCTGAAGTATTGACTGCAAAGCAACAGAAAGTTACTTTAATCAGAGAACCAAGTTTTATAATTAGTTTCTGCTGAAAATTAATCTGGAGTTTATTTTTAAACTTGCATGTCACATATCCTTTTCCAGCATTTATTTACTGATATAAAAGAGAGAACAAGAGAACCAAACACTGGTTTCATAAGCTATACCATCATTTGATCATTGCACTCCTAATATTCTTTTTCTATTTTAAGTCGAAGATGCTTTACTTTGAAAAAGTTGTGATATGTAATGCCCATGGTTTTGTGACTATGTTGACACTTTACTCAGGTAAGGAGTGGAGGCACAGACAAATAAGGAAGATAACGGATCGAGTTTTTGAACGTCTCATGAATCAAGCAGAAAAGGCTCATTTGACATTTGAAGATCTGTATATTGCTGTTTTACTTGTTTACAAGTAAGACATTTTCGTAATTTTCTTTAGCACTGTTCATGTATCAGATGGCCATACACAAAGTTAACTGAAAAAATGAATACTAACATTAATGAAAAAGAGAGGAAAACACTGATCCACCAGACAAAGAACTGTGCTTATCTAGATGCCCTTTTTATAGACAGGGGCTAGCCCACTAACAACTTTACCAATTGGCTAAGCTTGGCCAAGAGCGAGTCTAATCAAATTATAGCATCTAATCACTTGGGCTACTTAGGAAATTAGACTAATTAACTAATTGTTCTCTCAACAAGTATTCTAGTTTAGTTGACAAAATTCTGTAATACCTTCTAAAGTTGAGCTGTTTGTATGTTGTAGTGATCTCAATAAGTATTTGCCTGGTCCACATTTTGATCCTCCATCAAAAGACAAAGTCAGAGAAGTCATTCAGGTACATTTTCTGTGTGATGCTGCGACAAAACTGTGAGGTATTTTAATTTACATATATGAAAGCACTGCCAAGTGGTACTGGATCTATGTGGGGGCCTGGTACTCTGTTTTTCAGCCATCTAATGCTCTGTATGTGTTTAAAAAAATTTCATGACAGGGTGATCCATCTGCTTCGCTCCCAACTTTGACTCCTTCTCTTCACCCTTTCACTTTCAATTTCGCTAAGGTCACCTGAAAGTATCAGTAATTTTATTAAAATGAGTAAAAAAAAAAGGAAAAATAAAAAGGAATGTCAGGTGTACAATTTAAATAGCGCTGATATCTTAGAAGTTTCAGTTGTATTCTTCTGGGCACCTTTTTTCCTTTTTGATAGGAAATTTGAGATCCAGAATCTTGGGGTGGGGATAATTTGGTTAAGCATTGTGTGTCTGAGACTGGAGGCACATGTTAGCACATACTGTTTCATGATCTTCTCATGACCTAAAAGCATGATGAATATTGTATATAAGATTTTGAATCATTATAGCTTAAGTTTTAGATTGTAGTCCCAAAAATCCAGTTGAGGATGACAAATTTGGGGAACTTTACCGTCATTCACAGGTATAATTACATATTCTTTAGTCAACCAGAGCCAGTGATGATATTGTACTTTTGATGACTGAACTTATTCATCTCTTTGGCCTTTTAAGTTAGGTAATTACCTTGTAAGGATT